ACAGAAGTGGCAAAACAATGTTTTTTTTAAAAAAAAACCCAGAAAAACCAGGGTGATATTTAGGGAAGATGCAAAGTGACTCTAGGCTGCTTCCTTTCCAAACTGACCTCTCTTTTAAGGAGTAAAATTACCTCCTTTTCAAGCAGAAGCAAAGATTTCCGTCCCCTATAAATATCACAATGAGCAGAAATGCCTGGAAATAAAACTGCCACTCTCGGTGCCACATTAATGTCCGTACCAAGCTCCAGAATAGTCTCCTAGAAGGAGGAGATTTATTTTTTATGGCTCAGTAAAGAATCACCTCCAGTATTTATAGCTAGGGGGAAATTGACTTGCATTTATTTACACTGCTGATATCAAGCTCATAAAGTCTTTTTATTTCACCAGATCAGAATTTGCTTTCAATGCCAAAGATGTGCTCAAAAGTCTGAAAAACCAAAAAGTGACCCCTGCCACTACTTATTTTCACGGGGGTGGGGGGTGGGTGGGGGGGTGTTTGAAAAACACCACCAGGCCAAGAGCAGCCTGTCTGGAGTAGACGCCAGTCTTTCCCGAGAGCTGGCAGTCCTTGCGTCTACAGAATGTGATCCACTATAGAGCAGATCCCTTCTTTGCATCCTCTTCTCCTTAAGACCCAAACTGCAAACTAGCCTGGTCTGGTTGGAGTAGTAACTATTGGTGGTTAAGCATATTGAGATGGTTGAGGTTTAGTTCCAGGAGCACAGAAGGGCAAAGCCAAAGCGTAAGGGAGTCCCAAGTAGAAATAGATGCAAGAGATGGATATGGAAGAGGACAAGTCGAAAGGAGAAGCGGGGGGGGGGGGGGGGGTAAAGGTTGGAAAACATTGCAGAGCAACAGGACATGAGAACCTTCAAAGAAGAAACTTCCCTTTGGTAGAACATACCATAAAGAACGGACCTGGCTAGAATTCATCTACTCATAGGCTTATGTTTGGCTTGAAAGAATTTTTAATTCTACCACAGTATCCTTCTAGACCAGGGGTGTCAAATTCGATTTCATTGAGGGCTGCATCAGGATTGTGTTTGACCTTGGGGAGACTGGGGGCCATGGCCAGCTCAATGTCACTCGTGTCAGAGGCACCTGAGGTGGCCCTTCCCTCAGACCCTCCCTCCCTCTCATTATAATCCTTCCTTCCTTCCTTCCTTCCTTCCTTCCTTCCTTCCTTCCTTCCTTCCTTCCTTCCTTCCTTCCTTCCTTCCTTCCTTCCTTCCTTCCTTCCCCTCTTCCCTTCTTTTTCCTTCCTTGCTCTCTTCCCATCGTTCTTTCTTTTTCTTACTTTTTCCTCTTTCCCTTTCTCCTTTCCTGTCCTTTCTTGCATGCTCAAATGCATTTCTCCTTTTGTTTTGTTTTGCTTTTAGTTGGTTTTGCTAGCCCTCTGTCAGCAAAAACAGAGCCCAGGGGGGCCATGCACACATACCCCGGGCCCCATTTTCAGCTGCAACAGCCTCCTGAAGCCGTTTGCCAGCCAGTGAAAACAGAGCCCGCTACGCCACCAGGCACAGCCTTCCCCAGCCCTGTTTTCTCTGGCAGAGGCACTGTGGGTGGTCCTTTGCTGTTTCCAGGGCGGGCCAGATCTAAGTGGGCTGGATCTGGCAGTGGGCGTTGAGTTTGGCACCCCTGCTCTAGACCATCTTTCTGGAGTCATGATGTAGCCTCTCCTATCCAGAAGATCCATCTTAGAAAGTGCGGAAGGGACTGTCCTCATAGCCCCCATTTTATGGGATGCTACAAAGTTCTCTCTTGCTCACTGCACACTTCATGGGCTACTCACTGGGTAGCTTATGTGGACATTTCATCAGTGCACGGGCAATACTCTGCTCAACTCTTATTTTCTATCTACAGTTTCCAGGGAAGTCGAAAGACTTTTAGGTTGATATATGAAAATAGTTTGGACTGAACAAGCTAAAACTTAAATCCAAAATAAATATGGATACCTTTCAATAGTATAAAGCTCACAGTTGGATTTAGACAAGGTTGCTCTTCTTGGACAGATTTGGGACTCCTCTTCAAGTTAACCCTACATGGAGAAGCTTGGAGTGTGTCCTTTTGGCAGGGGACGCGGCCATATCTAACTCCACAATGAGGCAAAGCCAGCGTACATATCAGAAATATACCTTATCTAGCTCTGCTTATCATCAAAGTGATTAGAATGAAGATTTATATTGCAATATCATGCTGGTCAATCATAATTGTGTCCTGAACTGGACACAAGAAGGACACAGTTTGTGTTGCAATTTCACAACCCAACATTTTCCTCCTTTGGCCTCCCCCATCCCCCAATCCATCCAATAATTTTCACTAGGAGGGAGAGACAAGAAACAGAAGGGAGCCACCGGAGAACTTTCTATCCCCAGAGTCCACGTGCTCAGCTCTGGCCAACAAAGAGCTAATGCCCTGAATAGCGGCTGATTTCTCATTGTGTTTGACTGAATTATTGCTTCCTGCTGAGTAAGCAGAGGCTGCTGCGAAGACTGTAGAAGGAATGTACAAACTCCCAATTTCTCCGGAAAAAAGGAAAGGGGAGAGAACTAACAGAAAGTCGTCAGGCCAGTTCAACATGTGAGAGCTCAAGGAGAGGTTTCAGGTTTCTCTCCACAACCCTCCTACTGAAAGCAAGCCCAGGTAGGAATTCCAAACACAAATCAGTACATTTGTTGTAAAAAAAAAAAAAAAAAGCTTACAAAGTTGTTAAAAAAAGAATCCCAGTAAGTGTTGTACATGAGATGGAAGTGACACAGCGAAATTAAAATTTAATTTTGGCATGTTTTCTCCCTTCTGGCGTATAAAGCGTGGTAGCTTTGAAGCCACCCTCTCGATCAGAGGGGTGGTTGTCTTCTACGTCTCATCATTACAGGCTGTTTGCTTCTGGCCTCATCAGACTTGGTTTCCCCACCACTTTCCACCCCTTCCTCCTCCTTGGGAGAACTTAGCGCTATTGCGTTCCCTTTCTTCTAGCCAGGCGTTTTCTCACGAACCTGAAAAATCCTCCTCTTCTCCATCTCCCCGTCTAGTCCTGCTAAAACAGGGGTCCCCAATCCCAGGCTGTGGCTCACCAGCGGACCGTGGCCTATTCGGAACTGAGCCTCGCCAGAGGTGGGCTGAGGCATGCCTGCGTGTGTGCGCAGCTCCACTCATGCAAGCTGTGCCCCAAAGGCTTCTCTTCTCTCTTGTGTGAGTGGAGCGGCGTGCACGCATGTAGGTGCCGGGCTGCTGCTTGTGCAGCCCAGTTCCTCTCTCCTTGCACCCAGTCGGGTGGCCAATCCATCTTTCCCAATGCTCCAAAGGCAGACCAGCGAGACCAGAGGCTGAATGGGATGAGTGCACCCTGCTCAGCCTTGCTGACTCGCTGAGGCTGCCTGTGCAGGACACCCGATCTGCTCTTGAAGTGTCGGGCAGCCTTAGTGAGGCTGAAGGAGCATGAGACCCTGTCCCCAAAGGGGACGATCCCTTCCGTCTCTTTGCAAAAGCTTTCGGTGCAGAGAAGAAGCCCGAGGGAGCATAAAACTGCACCCCTCTTCTCTCTTGTGTGAGTGGAGCTATGCACGCATGTGTGTGCACCGGCCCAGTTCCCCTCTCCCGCTCCCCAAGCTGCAAAGGTTGGGGGCTGCTGTCCTAAAGGAAAAACCATTCCTTGCTTCTCATCCCAGAGAAACAGGAGGAGACGGCAGGCAGCAGGCAGCTCAAAACTCAGTAGTTCATGTAACCACAAAGGCGTTGCTTGGGGTAGCATTTATCTCCTCTAATTTACCATCGCATTATGGTTGATGTGCTGAGGGACAGTAATATTCGGAAGTTGATAAAGAGTTCTCCAAACTCAGAGTTGAATCTCTGTTGGAAATGGGATAGTTTGGGATGCTTTCAGGTCAGAAAACCTAGCAGTGGGACAACGGGGCAATCTCTGCTATGGAAGGGAGGCCCCTACAAGAGATGAAATGAACCATCGTCATGAAAAGCTCAATGAATGACTATCCAGGACTTTGACATGTGTTAAATCAGCAATCTAATCCAAGGATACCAAATCCCAAGGACTCTCTGGAGAGATAATGGGATGCATCAGACTGACTGATTTGGTAATTAAAATTTTGGCAAAGCAGCAGATTTGCCAAGAAGAATTCAGAAGGAGTCTTAAATAAGGTCCAGCTGGGCAGTTGTGATGATGCAACCATAAAAATTCCTTGCCTGGGTAGGAGGAATGTATAACTGGCCCCTCGGATGTTATTCTCCCTGATTCCAAGAAAAAGGGGAGGATGAACCTCTAAAGATCATCTATCTGAGGACCTAGGAAAGCATTCTGTGCTGCTACTGCATAAGGATCTGTTTGCTGTGCCTTCTGGTTCCCAGTGTATCACAGCACACTGTTCTTGGCAGATGTGGGAGGAAGGTCATAGGGAAAAAATATTCAGACCTGCATGAAAGTCCATCGGCTTCCTTGCTCGGAACTAGGAATGTGGGTGAGTGAATGTTAGCCTCCCAGAGTTCTTGAGAGTCAGGAGGCATACAAGTTTAAATATTTCTCAAAAAATTTGAGGGGAAAGATAAAACCCGGGAATGGCTTACCACTAGAATATTAAAACAAGAACACAAAGGCTTGATTTTGGCTGCTCAAGAGCAAGCTATTCAAGGCCCCAAAACAGAAAAATCATCAAATGATTTAAAGTACAGATTGTGGAAAGAGGCAGAAGAAACAGTAGATTATAGCCCGTGCAAGAAGATTGCACAAACTGATTATAAACAACACAACACGGGAAAATTACAACTAAAAACAATATTTTCGAATTGCCATCTAGTTCTTTCAAGGAAGCAAGAGAATTGCATAATGAAATTGTCATGTGTAAAAACCCTGCCTCCAAATTAGTTCTTAATCCTGAACAACATATCCCTTGTCTGAGAAAGAAAATATCTTATTATGAACGTCCAGAAAGAGGTACACTGCTCCGAGCCTATAAAAGGGAACAGAGAAAGCAAAGGAAGGAACTTACAGCTTTGGGCTTGAAGGGAGGCTGGATTTCTTTCCGCTCGAGCTTGTCCCAGTCAATATATCGGAAGAAGGCGTGCTCCTTGATATCCCGTTCTCCTTCCGGGCCACACCCCAACCGCTTAGCTGGATGCTTGGTCATGAGCTTGGAAAAAAGGAAGAGAACACGGTTCACCTGTCATCTTTCAGAATGAAAGCACCGGAGTCAATAACTATCATCCTCAACCCCTAACTATTTTCCACAATGTAATCCTGCTATCTGACCATAACAAAAACCTCTAAAGACTCAGCAAAATATTAGTGTTTTGAATCCTCAAGGCATTCCAAGGTGGGCAACTTCTGTTCCATGGGTTGATTGTTCTCACTGTCAGAAAGTTACTCCTTATTTCCAGGTTGAATCTCTCCTTGTTCAGCTTCCATCCATTATTCCTTGTCTGGCCTTTGGGGGCTTTAGAAAATAGCTTGACCCTTTCCTCCTCTCTGTGGCAGCCCCTCAAATATTGGAAGGCCACTCTCCTGTCTCCCCGAGTCCTTCTCTTCCCTCGACTAGCCAGGCCCAGTTCCTGCAACCGTTCATCATATGTTTTAGCCTCCAGTTCCCCTAATTATCCTGGTTGCTCTTCTCTGCACTTTTTCTAGAGTCTCAACATCTTATAGAGTGGTGACCAAAACTGGATGCAGGACTCTAGGTGTGGCCTTACTAAGGCTTTATAGAGTGGTATTAGTACCTCTCTTGATCTTGATTGTATCCCTCTGTTAATGCAACTTAGGATCGTATTGGCTGTTTTGGCTGTCGTCACACACTGCTGACTCATACTTAGCTGGTTGTCCACTAAGACTCTAAGATCTCTCTCACAGTTATTGCTATTAAGCTTGGTTCCACCCAGTCTATATGTGAACTTTTGGTTTTGGGAGGTTTGTGGTCCTTTAGGCCAGTTTCTGGCAAAAAATGCCTCTAGGAGTACATTGATTTGCTTAATGACTGTGCCATTCACTTAAAGACTGACAAAAGTCATAAAATCTAGTCCAGTCAGATGGATGCCTTGACATATGACTGTTATGATATACAGTGTAAATTTTTGGTTCCATTATGGTTGTTCAGTTGAGGGCTATCTTTAATTCTCCTTGATTACAGGGCTACAATGTTAACTGAATCTTGCAAGTCTGAAAGTACAAATCTCCCACTGTCACTTTTTACCATCTGAATAGTTGAGATGGAACTTTGATGACAGGTTTCTTTCTCTGCCTGTTACTTAGTTGCAGGCTCTTCTCCCTTTTATCTGCTCATTTGGTGTAGGCAACATCTCTACTTCCCTCTTCCAAGGTTGTTCTTATATTTCGTCAGGTCTAGCCCAAGAAGACATCATACAATCCAGCCAAAGTTCACTTGTTTACTTGCTAACCCCATAAAGAGAAAATCTTGCCAGACTAACCTATGCTACTCTAATCTAATGGATGAACCTAGTAGATTCTAGAGAGTGGCTATCCTAAACCTCTTCCTCTTCCCGTGATTCAACTCTAGAGTGTGCTGTCTGAAGTCTCACCCCGTCTTTGGAAGGTGCTCCATTCTCTCTGGAGAACCTGTTGTGTTACTGTAGTGTGTCATATCACTTCCCCTTGTTAGACACATTCTATTACCTATTCCGTTACAAGCACTGCTGCAACTTCCTGAAAGAATGGTTCTTAAAGTGAGGACTACCTGTAACTAAGGGAAGATCCAGAAAGGCTGTGGTTATCTGAATAAGGTGGCTCTTAGGGATCAAAAGGCAGACTGGATTTTTGGCTAAACTGCAGTTTTCATGTAGTCTTTAACAGCAACACCAGTAAAGCCCATTGTAACAATCCAATCTAGAATGAATGAGGCTCCTAGAACTTCCTTCTCTGAAGTGGACACAAACTCTTCTGGCCCAGCTGGTTATGGTTGAGCTGGTTACTGAACAATGTTCTGCTGATACAATATGGAAAGTGATGGTGTTTTGCAGCTCTTGTCACCACATTTTAAGTCGGAGGATGAGTCAGAGTACAGAGAAGAGCAACCAGGATGATTAGGGGACTGGAGACTAAAACATACAACGGTAGCAGGAACTGGGCATGACTAGTCAAGGGAAGAGAAGGACCAGGGCAGATATTAGCAGTGTTCCAATATTTGAGGGGCAGCCACAGAGGGGAAGAGGTCAAGCTGTTTTCTAAAGCACTCAAAGGCCAGACAAGGAACAATGGCTGGAAAGTGAACAAGGAGAGATTCAAACTGGAAATAAGGAGAAATGTTCTGACAGTGAGAACAATCAACCCATGGAACAGAAGTTGCCCTCGGAAGTTGTGGGAGCTTCATCCCTGGAAGCTTTCAAGAAGAGATTGGACCGCCATTTGTCAGAAATAGTGTGGGGTCTCCCGCTTGGGCAGGAGGTTGGACTAGATGACTTACAAGGTCCCTTCCAACTCTGATTTTCTGTTATCAGTTATCATAGGGCTCCATCACGTTCACTCTTGAATCCTGAAACCACTGACATTCTAGGTGTGGCTTCAGCTCCTTCATCTCCGTAAATCAAGGAACCCTTAAGACGGGTACCCAGAAAACCTCCTTATCCTGCACCCTCATCGTCTTGGTCTTGCAAAGCTCAGTCAGGCACGTGGGAGGAACTGCCAGACATCTAGCAAACAGCCCCAGTGTTAGGCCAGATGCTGCAAAGTTGAATGAGATGCCCAAGGAAAACAATTTTGTCTGAAATTTCAGGAAACTACTCATAATCTTACATTTAAAATCCCCAAACTGTTATTTTACAGCACTGGGGGAATTCGTTTCTAGCCATCATCCTCAACTGGCACACGGAGCAGTTAACCATCATTTTAAAAGTTAGGATTAGAACTGGAAGGGCTGCTGGCCTCATGCCCACTACCCCTCAGCTACTTATCATTTGAACCCCCAGAAACTCACTTTCAAAAATTCTACACAAACCCTGGCGGCATTCCAAGAGGGGGGTTGTTCAAAGGGAACTAGAACATGGAACAACAGAGTTGGAAGGGATCTTTGGAGGTCTTCTAGCTCAACCCTCTGCTCAAGCAGGAGACCTTATACAATTTCAGACGAACGGCTGTCCAGTCTCTTCTTGAAAGCCTCCTGTGCACCTACTACTTCTGGAACCGAGCTATTCCATTGGTTGATTGCTCTAACTGTTAGAAATGTTCTCCTTAGTTCCAGGTTGCTTCTCTCCTTGATTAGTTTCCATCCATTGTTTCCTGTCTTCCTTTTTAGAGCTTTGGAAAATAGTTTGACCGCTTTGCCTTTGTAGGAGCCCCTCAAATATTGAAACACTGCTGTCATGTCCCCCCTAGTCTGTGATGACTCAGGGTGGGGATACAGAATAAACACAGTCACAAAAACCTGGTGAAGCCCCTCTTATTCCTTCCCTTGGCTTCCAAGCTCCAAATATCCTTGACGGAAGACAAAAAACTCCCACACAAGCAGTTAGAAGAAGGAGGAAAAAAAGCAACACAAACCAGGCAAGATAAGAGCTGTAGGACACCCACAGATAACACACACTGGGAAGGACGCCAAACTCAGAGAGGAGCCATAAACTAGAGATATTTCCACGCTTTGTTTCCAGCATTCGCCCGTACGCATGTCCGTCCTCTTATTCAATTGTTCCAGCTGCAGCCCATGAAGAGGATCAAGGCCCTCTCCTCCTGAGTAGACCTTATCCTCTCCTCCCTGCATGCCCTATAGGGTATAGGATGAAGAGGGGATGGGCCTGGGTCCTCCTCTGACTGCTCAGCCAGCCTCTGCCCTTCCCCAGCTTCCTCCACAACCTCCGGAGCCACACCTCAGTTCCACTCCCTGCCGGCTGTTCCTCCTCTCCACCAAGGGCATGACGTAGTCCTTCTCTTCATTAAACTAGACCTACCCAATTCCTGCAACTGTTCTTCATGTTTTAGCCTCTAGCCTCCTAATCATTCTTATTGCTCTTCTTTGCACTCTTCCCAGAGTTTCAACGTCTTTTTTATATTGTGTTGACCCGTACTGGATGCAGTATTCCAAGTGTGATCTTACTAAGGCTTTGTAAAGCAGCATTAATACTTCATGTTATCTTGATTCTAGTTCTCTGTTTATGCAACCTAGGATTACACTGGCTTTTTTGGCTGCTGTCGCACACTGCTGGCTCATATTTAAGTGATTCTGCACTAGGAATCCAAGATCCCTCTCACACTTTACTGGCATTAAGTTTCACCTGATCTGTACCTATACAGTTGGTTTTCTTGCCTTACTTTTATCAAAACCTTACTTTTCATCACTGCAGATTTTTACGAAGAGAAGGGACAGCCACTTGTCTGAAATTGTATGGGGTCTCCTGCTTGAGCAGGGGGTTGGACTAGAAGACCTCTGAAGTCCCTTCCAGCTCTATTCTGATTATTAGTAGTAGTAGCATTATCTATGTTGAATTTCATTTTGTTAGTGATCAGGAGATCGGTTGTGTATAGGGTTGTTGCTTTCAGTTGCATGCAGAACTGGCATTCAGCAGGCTCTGACCGGTTCTGGAGAACCGGTAGTGGAAATTTTGAATAGTTCGGAGAACTGGCCAATCCCACCTCTGAATGACCCCATCCCCATCTATTCTCCACCTCTCATTGAGTCCCAGCTGATTGGCTGGGTCTTCTTTGGTTGCCCTGCACAGGAGAACGGAGCTGGAAAGCAGGTTAGTGGAGTGGGGAGGGAATGGGAATTTTGCAGTAACCTTCCCCTGCCACGCCCACCAAGCCATGCCCACCAAGCCACGCCATGCCCACAGAACCGGTGTTAAAAAAAGTTTGAATCCCACCACTGTTTGAATGCACACTATCTGGAAGGATAAGATGAACACAGAAATTCTGGGTTTGCCCAATGCTAAAATAAGTCCAATTTGCTGTATAATAAATCCTCGTTGTAGCTGATAGTGTGGATGAAGGTACACGAATGTTTGCCTGACTTGTTCAGGCAACGCTGATCAAGAGAAGAGAGCAATTCTGTGAACGAAGGTTGGAGCTTTAGTTTTTCTGAAGGGGAGGGAGCGGGGCAGGGGGAGAGCCTCTGCCTCCCCCTCGGAGGAGCCCCGTCTGAGCAGACCCCCCCCTCCCCATCCTCAGCGGAGACGCTGCCTTCCCCAGCAAGAG